TACACGTCCAGGAACCTTCGTGTGAGAACTAATCGAGACGATCGACTTATTCTAAGTTTATCGCTAAGAAACCGCTGTTTGTCGTCAGCTTTTCAAATTGATAATGAATTGCACTTAAGGAACGTACATATTAACTAACGAACTATAAGAAGAAGATTAAATGAAGCAAATCTTATCTCTAGAAGTTAGTACCTTCTTCAATAGCGAATATTTCCAACAAAAATAAAGCTAATGACATGAATCAAAAAACAAACCATCGAGAAAGGATGTATCTAGATGATAAAATTATTTTTAAATTTCTTGCTGTTTTAACATATTCCACAGGGTGTTTCAAACTTTCACCAAAATATCAACATTTTGTTTTCCCTCGTATAATTAACAGATGGGGAGTTTCATTTCTAATTTACAAAAAGATACTAAAAAGACAAATAATTTGGCTACACACTGCTTGAAAAATCATCAAAATCGGCCTATTAAAACAAAATATATTAACCTTTAAAATACATCTAAGTTTTAAGTTTTTTTTTTATTAGTCATATACTTTTCTAATGAAACAAACCTCTATTTTTTTACTAGAATCCAAAAATCAATTAATATATAGAGTGTTCCATTACAAAAAACATAACTTTGATATGTAACTTTTTCTGGGGACACCCTGTAGAACTACATAATTTTAGAAAATGCTTTAAATTGACTTACATAAGCTTCACTTCAATACAAACTTTTGTTCTCCTAGCAAAAACCGCGTCGTGTATGACGCGCCACCCTGTATAATTCGATTTCAATCAAAATTTCAATGATTATAATATAAGCAGAATAGGTATAGCTTATGCCTTAGGTTTATTTATTTCAATAAATTTATTTAGAAAAAAAATCAAAAAATTAAGAAGAAAATAATTAAGAATTTACTAAAATTACTAAAATAAAAAATTAAAAGCAACGAAAAAAAATGGGTAAATATTTTAGTATTTTATCTATAAAACACAATACACAGAAGGTTTCATATTAATAGATTCACAGTACTTGAATTCCGTGGTAAAAGTCTCTAGACACTCCACTATACCGGGTGCGTCTCAAAAGTGGCTCACCCCTAAAACTTTTTTATTTTTTCAGATAAAACAACGATATTTGGTATGTTAGTATATGACATAAATTGGGATTGATTGACTTATTCAATTGTTTTTGGTCACTTCCGGTTTCACCGGAAATGACTACAACTTTTGATTTTTAAATAGCACCTTCGGTATTTTTTTACTTTATTCGATAAAAAATGACACTCTGAATCAAATGACATATCATATGTCAACTTTTGACATTTTGGCATATGGTTTATTTGAAATTGTAACATGCGGTTCATAACGACAATTTGACTGAAAATACCAAGTGTGTGGTATCAAATTATTCGTAAAAAAAATGCTTTTTCCAAATATGCTAATGAGCCACCCTCGTTCCATTTGAAAAAATTGAGATATGATTAAAAATACGATTTGGGCATCTCTTAACCGGCCAGGACAAGACACTAAAAACATTAGACGATCAAATGTATTTTTCCAAGGCTCCTTGATTAAAAATTAATGTTTTTAACACAGCCATGTCACTCTAGATTGAAATTTAAAATAGAATTTGTTTTTGAGTGACTATGTCAAAAATTGACATATGATATGTCATTCGATTCAAAATGCCATTTTCTATCGAATAAAGTAAAAAAATACCTAGGGTGCCATTTAAAAATCAAAAGCTGTAGTCATTTCCGGTGAAACTGGAAGTGACCGAAAACAATTGAATACGTCAATCAATCCCAATTTATGTCATATACTAACATACCAAATATCGTTGTTTTATCTGAAAAAAATAAAAAAGTTATAGGGGTGAGCCACTTTTGAGACGCACCCGGTATAGCAACATTTGAAAAGTACTCGGCAACTCATAAGTTGAGGTTTAGTAGGGTTTGGTTTCTTGGTTCATTTTTGTTTATTTTTGTTTTTTCTCGGTACGGTATTGATGTTTAAATTACAGTATCTACTAGGTTAAGTTCATACCTACACCAGGAAAAATATGTAAAAGCAGGAACAAGTAGGATTTTTGATTTTTTTTTCAAAGCAGGAATGTAAAGCAGGAACACGTTTTCATGTAACTGATAAAGAATCAGTTATTCTAAAGTCGAAAAAAAAGAGAATGATGCATGAGATTTCCGCAGATAATTTTTTTTGGTTTTGTGTTTGAGGAGGCTTCTATATACTCGATGTTTTTTTTTATAAGTGATTTCAAGTAACAAAAACTTCACCCAAAAAAAGAATAAACGAAAAATTAAAGAGAATGTTTTACTCAAAACAATGTGAAGTAACACTTTCAACCAACCACTTACTGAAGTAGAGTTTTCCACCAATGACACGATTGTATTGGAACCGCCATTTGCTTGTGATTGGAGGTTTTGCTCATCCATAAGCGTAAGCGTAGATATTTTTATTGTAATACTATAGAATAATTTTGCTAAATTAGCATTGCTTACCGCCAAGTAGACGTTCACTAGTAAAACAGATTCGCTAGGAAAATCTTCCTAAGGAGAAGCAGTGCAGGTGCCTTGCGTCATAACGCTATAGATGAATGGATTTTAACAACAGCTAATGGCGTCAAAAACGGCTGGGGACTGACAAGCGATATTAATTTTGGCGAAGTCAAGTCCTAGACGTTTTTTACTTAACTCGTACTATTTATGTATTTATTTTTAATGGCGCTTACTGCCCGTTGGCTTTAAGGTTGTAATTTACTTTCATATTGAGTAAAAATTATTTTTAAATTGTGTAGTTTAAAATTCGAGAAAAAATAATCTTTGTTGTGTGTCTGGATTCTTCGTTCTGTCCTATTTTAATCTATCTTTAATTAAGGTTAAGTTTTGACAGGTTTTAGTCTAAAGATTGACCTCGCCAAAATTATAATCGATTGTTATTCCCGAGCCGTCTTTGACACCGTTTTATTTTCAATCATACGTTATAAGTAGCTTAGCTTAGAATATTTAGTTTTAGTTTTTTCTTGATAACGTAGAGTGGTAATCTTTCTTCCAATCTTATTTATAGCCAAATTTTATAACGTAACTGTATAATTCTGTAAAAATAAAGACAATAGAAATTCGACACAAAACTATTCAAGTGAAATTATCAAGTTTGTATTACAAGTCTTGAAACATTGTCTACCACCGTTAAACAAATAAGAAAATAATTGATTTAAACCATTGGTAGGGCAATAATACCCAAAATATTTCAACAAATTTGAAAAAAAGATCGAATAAAAACGGCGCAGCGTCAGCGATGACTATGAAATGAAGATCGCTGTCATTTTATATGTAAAATTATATGGGAAACGTCATTGATGGTAATTTTCAAGCCAACTGGGCGCCGTTTAAAATATAGTATGCGATAACTCAAATAACGGCAAATAATTACGAACCATATTATACATATACCGTGTGCGTCTCAAAAGCGGCTCACCCCTGTAACTTTTTATTTTTTCGGATAAAAAACGAGATTTGGTATGTTAGTACATGACATAAATTAGGACTGATTGACGTATTCAATTCTTTTCGGCCACTTCCTATTTCACCGGACAATTTCGAATATGCATGGTTTATTTGAAATTGCAACATCCAATCATGAACGACAATAAGCGAGAATGTCAAAAGTTGACATATGATATGTCATTCTATTCAGAATGTCATTTTATATCGAATAAAGTAAAAAAATGCCGAGGGTGCAATTTAAATATCAAAAGTTGTAGTCATTTCCGGTGAAACAGAAAGTGACCAAAAACAATTGAATACGTCAATCAATCCTAATTTATGTCATATACTAACATACGAAATCTCGTTTTTTTTATCTGAAAAAATTAAAAGTTATAGGGGTGAGCCACCTTTGAGACGCACCCGGTATTACTACCCAAGTCAAATCAGTTAAAATAAAATCCCACCGGAGAAAAAAAAATCCACAGTTTTGAAAATGGTTTTACACTAGGGTTTCCGGAACAGGACCTGTTTTTCGGAACCGGGAATTTCGGAACCGCGCCTCTTAGGAACCGTTTTTTTCGGTACTGACTAATTTTTGTTCAGTGGTGGTGCAATTCATCAATCAGAAAGCAAGGGATGGTTTTTCAAAGTAAAATGGATAAAAAATTGAGATTTTGAATGAAAATAATATCAAATTATTAAGTAATCAGTCAAGAAAAGAAGTAAAGAAAAAAATATTCCATTTTTTGCTAACTTTCCTCTAATTTGTTAAAGCTCGTTTATTCTAACCTTACTTATAGCCGTATTTTATTGGCATCTCTTTTATTCACAAATGTCAATAGCAATATTTTCTTTTTTGAAATTAAGTAAAAAATAAAACCTATATATTTTTAACTTTATTTAATACAAAATTCTCTTTACGTAACTACATCACTACACAAGTCTGCGCTGCAATATTTGCTATAATATATGTATATACAGGGTGTCCCAGAAAAAAGTGCAAGTATTTTAATTGGTAGTATAGTTCAAGCCCAGAACCACGCCTATGAGGGTTTTTTCGCGAAAAAAAACATTTGAAAATTCGGAATTTTTTGAAAAATTTTTTGGAAATTTTGTTAGTTTTTACTTAAAAAAACATAATTTCTTGATAATATGGCAACATAGGTAGTGGATTAAATTTACAAGAAAGAAAATCCAGAAAAGACCCAGTGGTTCTCAAAATTTTAGCAAAAAAATTTTTTTTGGAAATTTTCTAAGTAAAATAACTCCGTTATTTTGGTCTTATTGAAAAAACGATAAAGAGAATATATGTTTCTTTTATCGAGATCTACCACCCCTTAAAATACTTGCACTTATTTCTGGGACACCCTGTATTTGTTCAATGTGTGTTCGGCGTATGCAATTATGGTGCGCTTTAGACGTTTAATATTTTTTTATGAATAACAACGTATACTTTTGAAGTATATATTTTTTAAATTAATAAATACTATATTTCATGTTATAGAAAATACTAGGACAACGGATTCAAGACAATGTTTGCGAGATTCTTCAGGTTCGATATCAATAGAACTATCGGTTTCGGGTAATCATCTAGATATTCCAAAGGGCGATAACCTAAACATGCTGAATCCAGACAACTACCAACGAAGAAACACCAGAAGGCCTAGTATATTACCTGTAAGTTTTTAGACATTTTAAATATATTCCATATATATGTACAGGGTGGCGCACCTCATTCGCCTCGGTGGATTATACGAAAACGGAAACATGTAGAAACAAAATATTTTATGGGTATATTTGGGGAGACAATGTACACAATCTAAAATTATTTTGAAATATACAGGATGTTTCAGAAATAAGATCCATATCAAAGTTATATTTTTTCTTATGGAACACCCGGTATTTTATTTCATTTTTTGGATTCTAAGGCCCAAAAGGGGCATTTATTATAAGGGTTAAATATGTAGTATGTAATAAGTTAGTAAGTATATAATAAGTTATGTTTAAAATCTTTTAGTTTTTGGGATATTTAAAGATATTTAAATTTGCATGCTACAATAGAATAGACTATTAACACCCTATACATTACTTTTCAGAATTAATTCTTATGCTGAATTTAAAGGCAGAGAAACACCAGTTATATACTTTACTGAAAAATGGCATTGGTTTCTTAAATTTATACAGGGCTATCAAAAGTTGCTGATCTATTTTAAGGATATATTTTATATAAAAACTTCGCTTTTTCAAATGCAACACCCTGTATTTTTTAAATAAATCGAAGCAGATTGAAATGTTCTTTCAAACTATATTAGGGTTTCCTATACCTATCTACCCCAGATTTTGAATAAAAAGCGATTTTTAAATAAAATTGCAATCAAGATGGCTGGTGTCGCCATGGCAATTTTCTAGTGACAGTTAGTAACTATTTTCAAAGTCGACATTAGTTTATGGACATTATTATTTATCATATATAACAGTTTACTTAAATTTACCTACAATAGTTTAATAGGTAAGTATTAATCAAGAGAAATAAAGCAGTATCTACTGGCGGAACGAATAGATGTTACTAGTGATATTATTTTGTGAGGAAAATTACTTCTTTGCCTCAAGGGCTTATGCTCAAAGATATCCAAATAGGAATCTTCCTGATAAGCGTTTCTTTGAAAAACTTCTTGTCCTATTTCGCAGAGCTGGTAGTGTGGTTTATAAAAAAACCTATTAGGCAGAAACCTGTCGTTGGAAGTGAATAAAATGAATTTGCCGTAATTGGCTATTTTATAGAAAATCCATATATCTACAAGTCATCGTAAAATAATTCAAAGAACTACTTCTTCGTTTTTCTTGATAGAATAAAATACACATATTTAATAAATATTATTTATTAAACTATTGTAGGTAAATTAAATAAAAATAAACTGGTACAAATTTAAAGAAGTCCATAAACTAATTTCGATTTTCAAAATAGCTACTAACTGTCACTAGAAACTTGCCATGACAACACTAGCCATCTTGATTACAATTTTATTGAAAAATCGCTTTTTATTCAAAATCTGAGCCAGATAGGTATAGGAAACCCTAATATAGTTTGAAAGAGCATTTAAATCTGCTTCGATTTATTTAAAAAAATACATAGTGTTGCATTTGAAATAACGAAGTTTTTATGTAAAATAAATATTTAAAATAGACCAGCAATTTTTGATACCCCTGTATACATTTAAGAAAGGAATAATTTTTTTCTGTAAAGTAAAAACATATTTAACCCTTATAATAAATACCTTTTTTTGGGCCGAAGAATTCAAAAATGAAATAAAATACCGGGTGTTCCATAAGAAAAAATATAACTTTGGTATGGATCTTAGTTCTGAAACACCCTGTACATTTCAAAATAATTTTAAATTGTGCACATTACCTCCCCACATATACCCATAAAATATTTTGCTTCTACATCTTTCCGTTTTCGTAATATGAACCGATGCGAATGAGGTGCGCCACCCTGTATATTTGGTATCAATTAAACTTTTAGTTACGTAATCGAGGGCCCAATTTTTAAAATTCATTGTTGCCAACTATGGACATATTCGGCACCGGGCTGACTGGAATTTAAATTTCCCGCTGGGGATTGAGGTGGTAGTTCTGCTGTAAAAAATGTCACGTTGCCACATTTATTTATTCATTTCCTGACATTGTCATTCGTTTTGACAGTTTTATTTTGTATTACTAATTTTTGATTTAAATGAATTGTCTTGTGAAATTTTAAGCTTAAAAATTTTTAGTAGCTGATCTTGCAGTAGAACATTGTTCTTTTTAGAACCCCTTTTGTACGAAGAGTACAAGCATAGTATAAGGAAACTAGTAGCTTTACTCCTTATCAAATCCTTTGTTCTTTTTCTGCCACTTTATATGACATTGTTCTCGCGTCCCGTGACCACTGACGTAGCTGTATAGTCGTGGTATATAACTAGGCAAAATATAGTCGTGGCACTCGCCATAGTTTCACAGAGATGATGTATTTAGGAAAATATGAGTTCACAATAAAATAAAATCAAAAAAATTGATCATCGAATACAAATTTGCTTCAAAACATAATATTTTCACATTTCGTGTAACTACCAATTCTTCTGTATCTGAAAATCTTCTGATGGGAAGAAATCCGGATAAAAATATAATTACATTTATATTATTATCTATTTCAAAGATTTTCTACAACTTTTTGTTTAATTTAAAACAAGTTTAATTTTAACTTTAATGTGTTTGTTTTGTAGTAATATAATATATTGCTTAGGTGATTTTCAAAATAAAAACTAATACATTGAACAACACATTGTACTAAATAATAAAATAACACATTTAAACTTCAATAATTGCTAATAAACATTACAGAAATTTCAAAAGAGGAAAGAAGCAGGAACAATGAGAAATATCATCACTACTTTCTTACGTAATAAAAAAATAATTTTTTCCGGAGCGTTTCCGGAACCGGAGCTGTTTTTCAGAACCCGTAATTTCGATACCAGGCCTCTAAGGAACCGGAATTTTCATTTTTTTTTCGGTACCTTCGGTACTAGCAAATTTTTGTTCACTGATGGTGCAGTTCGTTAAACAGCAAGCAAAAGTAAAATCGATAAAAAATTGAGGTTTAAATGAAAATAATATCAAATTATATCCAGTAGTAATCAGCCATGAGAAAATTAACCTGAACACAAACATGATCACAAATGACTCTAAAAAAAACTCATAACACAATTTTTTGTCAATCCGTCTCTGTGCTGGGCCGCAACGCTCGAACCTCGCAGGATATTCGACAGATTGTAAAAACTGGCAGAAAATATTTGGGAGAGTGCAACTACTCTTTACTTTCTACTATGGTACAAGATAGCTTAATAGTCGTAAAACTTTAACTCATCGCAACTTTATTAGAATATTTTGAACGGGATAGCGGTAGTAATGACCCTATATGTCCCTTAAGTGCTGTTAAGAAGGTGAGTTTTGTTGATGTAAATAAAAACTTAGTACGAGAGCTAGCAAGGTCGGAAAAACCAGTATTTTAGGACGTCTGGCTCTTTGATATATCTTCTACTATGCTCTCTAGAACAGCATGCGGCCCGTCTGGCTGAGTGTAAACGTTGCGTTCTCTACTGCGCATTGAAAGAAGATCCTATATTTTTATTAGTCCTATAAATTTTAGTATTGAATATTAATCGAGCATGTCTCCATAGCGCAGTGCGTAGAGTTTCCGACCACGAACCGATAATTCAGAGTTCGAATCCGGGTCAGGTCAAAGACTTTTTTATTTTATTTTTGAATATATTCTGATAGTAAAGTATTAAATATTTATTTTTTTTAATTACCAGAATTATTTAATACTTTACTATCAGAATATAAACGAAAATAAAATAAAAAAGTCTTTGACCTGACCCGGACTCTGAATCATCGGTTCGTGGTCGGAAACTCTACGCACTGCGCTATGGAGACATGTTCGATTTATATTCAATAGTAGAATTGATAGGACTAAATTAATAAAAAATATAGGATCTTCTTTCGATACGCAGTGGTGAATGCAACGGGTATCGGCAGCCACACGGGCCGCATGCTGTTCCAGAGAGCATAGTAAAAGATATATCAAAGAGCCAGACGTCTTAAAATACTTTCTCGAAAACGTTGCTAGCTCTTAGACTAACTGTTTATATATTTATAATTAATTTATTTATGTGTCCTAAAATGTTTTCATTAAAATAAAATATGTAAAAGTGGGCAACGCTATGCCGGTCGAGCTTAATCACGTGGCTAAAAGTTTATTTGAAATGAACTGTAGTTATATTTGCGTATATTCTTCGTTTCGACATAGTGTCACGTCATCAACAATCTTAACACTGTGATGACTTAACACTTAACAGTACACTTAACACTATGAGATTTATGCAGACTTGAGCTTCTTTTTTGTAAATCAATTGCTGCCTGAAACAAAATTATTGTTTTGACTATCTTAGTTTCCATGTTAAAGGGTGATTTTAAATCTCAATTGCCTTTGGAAATTCACTACCTCAACATACGTATTTGCTCACATTGCATTATTGTTATAAAGTTTTTTTTTTCATAACAAGGGGCCGTCCTTTGCCGGAAACACTGGGACCTGTGAGGCCTATTGTGTTTGTCCCCTTTCTATATCTGCACCCATTTTCCTATCCCTGTGCCCTGCACTAGCTTATGCAGGTCCTTGATAGGATGGGAGCATATTTCCTCCGGTTCTAGCCTAGCTTTCCCAAATAAAAAGTATCGCTTGCGATCCAGAGCCTCGCAATGACATATTGTGTGCTCCCCTGTTTCAGAATCTTTATCGCAGAGTCCAGAGCAAAGACTTCCTTGATAGAGGTTGAGCTTGTTCAGGTAACACTTGACAGCCATGTGTCCTGTCAAGAGGCCTTTTGTAATCCGCACTTTATTCCTGCTAAGCATTAGCAGTTCTTTTGCGGTTTTAGAGCTAGGTCCTTGGATAAAAGCCTTGCCGTGCCTGTGCCCCTGTCTGTTTCTCCAATGGACATTCTGCTTTTCCCTGATCCAGAGTTTTAGTGCACTACGGGCCATACTTATGGGTATTCCCTGTACTGGCTCTGGACCAAGATAGGATGCCGATGATCCCTGCCTAGCTAGCTCATCGGCTTTTTCGTTGCCTTGGATGCCGCTGTGGCCCGGCACTCAGAATAATTTAATTCTGTTCTTTCGTGCCAGAGCTCCCAGTTCACTCAGTCATTCCCAGACGAGTCTCGACGATACCTTTGGGCTCATAAGCGCCCCAAGTGCCGCCTGACTGTCTGAGCATATATTAATGAGCTTACCTGAATAAGCTCTTCTATTGTTTTCTCTCGCACATTGTAGAATCGCGAAGATTTCTGTCTGGAATACGGTTGAGTGTTTACCCAAGGAAAAGGATAAGCTTGCCCCTGGTCTTTCCCCAAATACTCCAGCTCTTTAACCCGTCTGTATACCAGGTTAGTCCATCCTGAAGGAATGTTATATCTGTCCACATTCCTCGATCCATTTTGTTCACCTCGAATGGTTTGTGGTAGTGATAAAGAGGGGTCATTTGGTCCGATCTCATTTGGAGTAGAGGTCCTCCGATAGAATCTCCCATCTTTAAGTGTCCTGTTTCTGTCCTATTTTCCAGAGACAAAACACTTTGTTGTCGATAGAGTCCCATTCTTGCCTCCTCCTGGATCACTATGTGAAAAGGCGGAAGGTCCAGAAGCGCCTCCATTGATGCAGTGGGCGTTGATTTCATCGCCCCTGTTATGCTCAGACAAGCAAGTCTTTGCACCTTACTAAACTAGTCCTACAAGTTGAATTGTTTTACTTTTTGAAGTGCTACAGCAGAAAACAAATAATATTTATTTTGTAGGTCCCTGACATGTTTACTGGTAGTACTCTAAACATATCGCAAGATGTCACCGATGAGGGAGATGAAAGCGAAGACGAGTTAGAAGATGATGTTCCATGGAGATCGCCCAGTGAAAAAATTGCGTAAGTTATTAATACAGTTTATGTGTTTTAGTTACACAGCAATCCGCAAAATAGTTTATATGAATTCGCTGGTTAGTTAAGATCTGCATCATGTATGTACAGTTGTAGAAATAGTATGAAGAACAATATTATTGTGCTAGCAACATTAATATAACAAAACTGGTATAATCATTTTATGGGAATATTAATTGGGCAAATTTAACAGCTGGGTTAATAAGTTACTTAATTCTGGCATTTAGTAGAAACTATACAAAATGAATAAGTTTAATGTTCTTTAATAAATATAATAAGAGCTCACTATGGCGTTTTCATTATACAGAGGTTTTCACGCAATACGTTCATTAAAAGTTTTTTGGGCACCAATTTTGAAACATATACGAATATTTAAATAAAAAATATTTCCAAATAAAATAATGAAATAAAATATTCTTCACCTACTGACACTTCGGGTTTAACCGAAAATATCCGCACACATTACTTTCCTTTTAGCACCCAGCCAATCAAATCGTTTCAGCACGATTTGGGGCAGAGCAAATTTAGCGTGTTATTTGAAAATGCGTAGATTCGTTATACCATAGCTTTATACGCTCTTGTACAATTTAGAAATTCTATTCGTTTAAAATTTTGGGACATTTTTTTATGATGTAAGTATAATTTTGGTTAAATAAATACTTCAAATACGATGGTTAATAAACTTATATTATATTGTGGTCCATAGTTTATCCATAAAAATGTTATTATACATAAAGTAAATAGGCTTAGCATGAATGAGAGAAAACAAAGATCTAGAATTTATTCACAAAATTTATTGTTGGTCGATGCTAATTTAATCTTTAATAAATAAACTACTAGTAAAATATATATAAAAAACATGAACAGAAACTAGACACCCAAAAGGCTACATAAAAACGCAAACAACTCATAAACCATCAGATACATTTTAACAGTAGCGGCTCGTCATGGTAGACAAGGTAGGCGGCGCCTACCCTAAGATTTTGACAGAATTTAAGCGATTTATTACATTACAATATTTACTATTAATGTTGCCAATACATAAAAATACTGTTAATATACATAGTTAATACACGAAAGTGTGTTTTAATAATCAATATTATTTTAATATTTGTGGTCTTGTATATTAACGATATTAACATATTCACTACCGCTTGCGTACGCTGACCGCTGACTGTGCCGCTGCGTTAAGGTGGGTACTCACTGAGCGAACGAACAACGAACTCCGAATGATTCGTCAAGTGTGTACGTAAATGCGAAGGCGAATCGCATGGCATTTTTAAGTTCGGTTCGCCGTCGCCTGCGTTCGGTCGGAGAGCGGTACATCAAAGAGATACGCAGTTCGGTGTTGACGAGATTCGCGGGTTTTTAATTTTTTGGGGGAACTCCGAATCCGAATTTATATTATTTGCATTTGAACGCTGTGTTTTTAAGTTAAAAAGATTCAAGATGTCTGGTAAACTTCAATGGACAGACGAACTTACAATTGATTTAATTGAAGCATATAGAAAGGAGGAATTGTTATGGAATCCTTCCAATAATTTGTACCATAACAAAAGTAAAAAAAAAGATGCATGGAAGCAGTCTAGTCCCCTATATGTATCCCGACTTTGATAAACCTTTGACATCCAATGTTTTCTTTTCCTTTTTTGTTTTTTTACTTTTAGTGATCCCGCAATAATTATAAAAGCTGATGCCGCTATAATTTTGTCACACATTTTTTCTGCTAAACAAACTCACAAACCGACGAAGCCAACCAAACAGCGAACTTTCTGCATTCGTTTCGGATTCGCTCATTGGTAGGGTACCTGAATTACGGCCGAACGAATCCAGAACCTTCGTTGTTCGGACTTCGTTGTTCGTTCGGCATTCGTTCGCTCAGTGAGTACCCACCTTTAGAAAGCAAAATAATTTCGACCGTTGGAGTGCCTTTGTTCGGCGATTTCTACATCGCCTACTATCAGAGTCGATGCACGACGTACGGCAGTCTTCTGTCTCTATCTAACTCATCGTGCGGTAGCGACGCGACGTAAGTCGGAGTTGTATCATATTAAGACGTGGCTTAGGCGAAATCTCCGGTCGCCTTCGCATGAAGTCGTGAGGCTCGGTAGGCTTAAATGTTAAGGGGATATTCCGGATGTTTCATAAGGAGATATATCACATCTCGTTAAGGGGATATTTCATATGATTCATATTTAAAACTTTTATATGAAAATTCAAAAAACGTTTAAAGCAAATTGGAAACATTTTTCGGGCTTGTCCGAGATTATTAAAAATGATATAACGAAATAAAAAAGCGCGTTATTTTATTCGGTGCAAGAAGACGATACAAGAGATATTACAGAAAAGTCTCTGTGCTATTTCAATTCGATATGTTAAGAGGCTAAGTCAAATATCGTTGCGAATTTTATTTTATGAAATATTAGATAACATTGTTATACATTTAGAAATAAGGTTTGCAGATAGGTACTCGTTTTTCTCAATTATTTTTATTTATCTCTTGCGGATCCAAAATTTAAAGAATCCTATAAAAAATTTCCAACGCATTTAACATCGGATTTAACAAACTATTTATAACAATGTGATTTAACAAACAAAAAGTGTTATTGACCAACATAAATTAATGAATAAATTGCAGGTATGTATTAATAATAGATATGACAATTTCGATTATAAAATAATTTAAGGAGAATAATCCTGGAAATATATTTCCAGAGGCTTTCAAATTGTTTGTTTTGTTTGTTACTACACCATTTACAAGTACTTGGGGTGAGAGACATACTTCATGTTTGAAATGCATTAAAATTTATAGTAGAGATTCCATGAAAAATCGTTTATCGCCACTTGCCTTACTTTCATTCTAAAAAGATCTTTTCACAGCTCTTCAACAATCTGATGATTTTACTGATATAATAATAAATAACTTTTCTTTATTAAGAGACCGACTCATCAATTTAATATATAAAACTTTAATATATAAATAATTATTCTTTCTGTTAATACTACCAATTTTTAATTTAATAAAAATAAAATAAAATTCTTACGATGTACTCCATAGAGACTCCATAGTAATAGATAAAAAAAATAGATAAAATAGATTAATAAAAACTATACTTGTACATTATGTCAATCATTATGTCATTACATTGAATGCTGTTATTTTTGCTTTAGTTTTGTCCTAAATATTTTTGAGCCATATTTTTAACCCAGAGATAGGTAACATATATTTATAAACTGGGCTAGTGTATTATGTAAATTAGGGGGGGGGGAGGACAAATAGAGGCAACTAAAATTTTGTCGCCTACCCAGTCACACGGGTCACGAGCCGCCAATGCATTTTAAACGGTCAAAATTCCCAATCAGCCGATCGAGAACTTGGCCTTCTTCAAATACGATGTTAGACGAAGGATGGTTCCACTCGTTTTCGGGCACTGGCAATTAGACGGATTTTGATTGGCTGGTGCAACGAGAAAGTACTGTATTCTCAAAATGTCATAAAGTAAAATATGTATTAAAGATAATGTACATCTCAATATATCCTTAGCCAAAAAACGCTGTATTTCGTCTAAATTCAATCATAGGAAACTTTAAATCAATAAGGTGTGTAAAAATCTCTTTATTATGGTAACGCATTGCCATCAATCACAATGAATCAACCATCACAACCTGCTCTAAACAGCCTAACAATATGTATTATACGATTGAAAAAAAATGGTGTCAAGATGGTTTGGAAATGAGAGGATCGTCATGCCCATTTTACTTTACATACAGAACGACAGCGATCTCCATTTCTCGATCCAGCCATCTCCAAGTCAACTCTGACGCCGTTTTTCGATCGCATGGTATATCGTGATTAAAAAAATATATAAAACCAAAGCAGCTATACAAAAACTAATACCATGTAACCGAAAAGAAAAGTGGCAGTAGAAGGCTTAAGCGGGCCGGTTCTGGGCCAAAAACCCAAGATGGCGGCGATTCAAAACTTACCTATGGGGCATAGTCCCTGTATTAGGAATGGAGTGCTATTTGCAACAGATCCGGTTTGTCCGGTCAATAACCCCCCCCCCCCACTCCTCCAACAAGGACCACGCCCCATAGTTAAGTTTTGAATTACCGCTATCTTGGATTTGTGGCCCAGAACCCGCTTAGCCCCTCTGCTAGGGACCCCTCATCCAACATTTTTCTGCTAATGAAAAAAACGCGCAACGCGTGCCCCTACAAATTCTGCAGACCAACCTAAGCTTTTGCGCCGAACAGTACACGCCAAACACACCTGTTGATAAAGCCGACGTCACTCGACGTGTCAAGGCTTGGCCAAGGTGTAGTTGGCCCACCTTGGGCCTACCGTGTGGACCACAAATTCAACGCCTACGTGAGCTTGGCTTAGTGCTTGTCATTATTCGCTCTAGAGACTGTAAACTTGCACATATGTCATAGGCAGTGGCGCATCTAGGGAGGTATAGGGGGGAATCCCCCAGATGGCAGGTTGGGGTCGTATAATATTGGTTTTAACCTCAAATCAATATTATCTTATAGTGACCTAAGCCCCCTAAAAGTCTGTGTCTTGATGCGCCCCTGGTCATAGAATTTTTTGAGCATTGGCCTTGGCGTGTATTTATGCATGTGTAAAACGGTCTACACGATGCAACGTTTGGACAGTGTTTGAAAGTAGTTTTGTTTGATCATCGGTTTACTATGGCGGAATTAAATGTGGACAGTAAAGAATTAAATATGGTCAGTTAAAAAGTTATGGCTTTATATGAAGGGTATCCCAAGATATGGAACCCAAATAAGACCATGCATAAAAATAATTGAATATAACAGTTGTACACATGCATTCATTAACGCATAGCTTGCAACACAACACTGAGCAGTAAGTGCACATCAGAACATGCACACCGACACCAATATTAGTAGACGTTCGCTATCCTTGCATCTGCCAATATTGGCCATGTCTTGTGGATGCACTGGAGTGTATTGGAGCTGGT